CTTTCATCTTGAATATGACAGGTATATTTCATATAAGAGATAGAAACAAGTGCATATTTTTGCCTGCTGAGGTTTCTAAAAGAGAGGGAATTATTTCTGTCAGAATAGAAAGCTGTGATACTATTGACACAAACTTTTCACCTATATTTGCTAATAATATTGGGCCTCCATTTCCATGCTCTCTGCCATTTTGGACAGGTTTCAAAAGAACACAGTGTTGCCAGGTATCATCTTAATGCAGTTAACACAGCAGAATACCAGAGGACTCTTTTTTTGGGTTTGATTTTGGTTTGTGTCACACCACACAAGTTACTTTGGTTGGGATAGGGGAGGAGAAAAGGAAAGGAGGACTTGCAGATTCCCAGAGCCCACTCAGAACCCTAGAGCCAGTCATTGCTGATCTTCAAAATCAGCTGTGGGCATGATGTACTTACTTGCTAACTCTTCCAAAAGGCTCCACTGGATCTCTATCAGCTCCAAGGCTTTCCAGAGCATTCCACACAAGTTCAACAGTAATCATTTGCTCTTCTAAAGCCACAGTTCACATTTAACATCTATCAGACAGGCAGTGTTCACACCTCAGGGATCTTGGAGCCAGCCAGGAGACATGGCTTCTGCTCCAGCTCAGACACAACAGGAGGAGGAACCAATGCTCTAAAGAGAGGCAAAGTCCAGGAAAAGCCCCAGGAGAACAGAAGCAGAGCCTGAGGCTGGATTATTCAGACCCAGAGGAGTAGAAGCACCAATGTGGAGCAGGGCAAAACAGGGCAGGCCCCTCACTGAACTATAGGAACTTGGGAGGCAACTCTTACACTGAAGCTGCTTCCCTCTCAAGTGCTCCCACCCAGGCAGGAAGGAAGGTTTGAGATGGGATGCTGGTGCAGGGAGCCTGAAAGCTGAGGAGGCCAAGAAATGCCATGTCTCTAGTGCAAGAGGCTGGGATTAGCCACAAGGACACAAGGAGTGCTCCATACTGTGCTGTGCTTTGGGAACAGGCTCATAGGTGGACTGTGTCAAAGAGGGAAGGACAAGGTGATCTCCAAGTCAGTGGCTGTAAGAACCCAACCTAATGCAGGTGACAGAGGTGACACTGAGCAAGCTGCTTGCTTCCTGCAACTCCCTACCTTCATCTCCACGGAGGGGTCGCCAACGACCTGTTTCCATTCATAGCTGACTATCCCTCGGTCATCCGTGCTCTCTATGCCTCTCAGCATCACTGGCTCCCCCGGCTGTACCCTCATGTCCTTGCCAGTGCGGGCTATTGGAGGATGGTCATCTGCAGAAGAAAGGCAGAACAAGGCTTGGGTAAGAGGCTGAAGGGTCCAGTCCATATCTCCATTACAGGAATACAAGGGAGGGGGATTCTTCCAGATTAAATCAATACAGACTTCAACCACTGAAAAAGAAACACTTTCATACAGCTGTGCTTCTTGCAGCCTGAGCAAGCAACAGGCAGGCAGTACCGTTATTACTGCCCTCACTAATTTAGCAATGCCACAACCCATTCTGGCAGTGCTTTTGGCTCCCTGGCCACTTCTGCCCACAGGAACCACTGTAAGAGGGTGTCCCCGTGGCTCCAGCCATTGAGGTCCTGTCCATCAGACCACATCGTTGCAAAACAGCACAGAGCAATCTCCACCCTTCACTTAGGGAGATGACCTGGTGTGGGTGTTGAAGAATGTGGAACTGATTCTCATCATTCCTACCACCATCTCTAAGCACTGTGTTAGCATACCTAACCAAAGCTACGCACTGCAGGATCTGGATGAGAAATATCCCTCCTCCACCTTGTATTCCAGCCCGTTCTCCGACATACATGCCTTAAAAAATGGCACACAAATGCCATTCGTGAGATCATTATTTTTGTGCTGTTCCATGGATTAGCTCACCAGCAGCTTCCACAATCCATGAACACTTTTCCAGACTGTAAAAGATGAAAACTGATCCCTGGCTGTGCCAGCAAAAACAGCCTATACAATGGCACCATTAAGCCTGACTCATAACTCCTCTCAGCCTCAATGTCTCTGATCACAGGCTTTCCGCCCATAAAACTCCACCTGGTAGTGCCTGTACCAAGTCCAAGATCCAGTGTTCAGGTTCAACCTGAGTCTTTTGTAAAGGCATTGATTTAGAAGCTAGGTATAAATCAGTCAACCATTACACTGTTATATTGACTGTGACTGAAGAAGAGGATTAGTGCCCAAACCCCTTAGAAAACTACTCCATCAGGTAATTATTTCCACTGTTGTAGACTTGCTCCTAATTTCCTGTTTGAGTGTGTCTGGATTCAGGTACCACCTGCTGACTCTTGCTAAAGCCTACTGAAAGGACCTTTCATATAAGACGTATATAGAAATAAACCTGACATTCAAACCCAGCTACTTTTTAGTTCTTTCATCACTAAATTCAGTAGGATTGAGGGCTTTGCAACCTGTATTCCTGATTGGTTATCACAAACCCACCCAGAATCTTCCATTTTCTAGTATCTTTCACCAAATGAAGACATGTCCATTCTATCCTGGTCTTACAAATGCTGCTGCCACCAGAAAGTCACAGGGGAGACAAACCTTCCCTTGTTGACACACTTGAGCATTGTGCTCAGCCTGTCTGGCTGCACTATCAGGGAGGGTATTTACATGCCACCCCTTGAGGCTCCCCCTGCAGTCTGCTCTAGTCCTACCACATGTTACTTGAGAGAAGAGACTGACCACCTCACTCCAACCTCCTTTCAGGTAGTTGTAGAGAGTGGTATGTTCCCCTCTGAGCCTTCTCTTCTCCAGACTAAACCCCACCAGGTCCCTCAGCCGTTCCTCATCAGACTGGTGCTCCAGACCCTTCACCAACTCCACTGCCCTTCTCTGGACCCACATGTACCAGTATCTTTCCTGTAATGAGGGGCCCAGAACTGAACACAGAGACTGAACAGACGAGACAAGCAGAGATGCCCACCCTGGGTGTCCTCTCACCCCTGGGTGAGGCACACCTCCCTGCCACTCCTTCCTCAGGGCTGCATGCCACAGCGATGGGTCCTATCTCAGCCTGGCACAAAGGCTGCTGAAGACACCAAGCAGGGCCAAGGGAGCCTGACACCTCTGTGTTTTGATAGGGCCAGTAGAACAAATACACGGAGTTCTGTTTTATTCACAAGTGGCCACGCAGAACATTCATACGTGAAGGGCCTGTCTGGAGCTGGCAACACCTTCCAAACCAAACCAGGAAAACTGCTCCATAAGCACCTTGTACACAGCACTACAAGCTCTGGAAAGGGGACACATCCCTGCCACAGAGCAATGCAGCCTGGTCCCTGCCACCCTCCTGCCTGGGTGAGCCCAGGAGGTGGCTGCAATTGCACAAGGGCAAGACCAGTTCTTCAGCCACACAGACGCTGATCATTAACTCCCAACTCCAAATCCTGTTTTCCCTTCACATTTTTAAGCATGTACGCTTATTGCAGGCCCATTTCTCTGCAGGGTCATTTAGCTACTCGGGGTTGTGGATTGCACGGTGAAGTAAAAGCTTGGTTCTACTCAATGGGTCATCAACTGCTCCAGATCCCATCTCGGATGAGCCAGATTCCCTGACCCTTCTCACCTCCCAAAAAAAACCAGTCATGAGCATTTGCGTATCTATGGTGTGACTGCCAAGGAGGAAATCCCTCTAGGAATGAAGGGCTTCAAGTCTTTGCCTTTTCTCCTCAGGACACCTGAAAGCTCAGTGACTTTGGAGTATTTCTGCTACACTGACTATATGAAGCCTTCAGTGGCAGTGGGGCTGTTCTCCACCTTAGCCTCATAACTGAGTGCTGACTGAGGCAGAGTACTAACAAACTGCTTGTGAAAGGGAGATTCTCCATTGTGTTTTGTTCTGAAAGCCTGTTTGAAAAAGGAAAGTTATCTTTGCTATAATGCTCTTTTGACTATGGAAAGTTTCTGCTGTAAAACTCTGTAATTAACAGGGAGATTAAAGCTTTATGATGCTGCTCTGTCTTGTGTGCTTTTACTGCGGAACACATGCTCCTGGAGTCGTGTCATCAAGTGACCACTTCCTCTTCCATTTATAGAATATATTGGAAAGGGAAACATCTTTTCTTTATAATCCTGGAGAAAAGCTTGATAGAGTAAATCCAAAATGCTTAAAAACAAATGTATGTGGCTCACAGTGTATTCATGCACCAGTGAAATCCCACAGCAGAAAGCGTTTGCTTTCAGTATGGAGACTTCTCTTTTAGAGCTCAGACACCAGCTCTTGCCCTCAAGACACAGATTCACCGAAAACCAGATCTCCTCCATTCCAGCACTCATGCAGATAGACCCTGAGTACTTGAGGCTATAAAGTAGTGCTTGAAAATACCTCTGAATTGTTTGAGGTTGCAACTAGAAAGAGCTGGAAAGTTTTCTCATGGTCACCCAGGGGCTTTTACAGCCCGCTGTTGTCTGCCGTTGCAGAAGCAGCTTGGAGGGACACTGATGCACTGTGAACGGAAGGACCTCACTGGGGACAACAGAGCCTGCTCAGAGCCACTGGGCAGGCCAGGAGCAGAGACAGGAGAAGAAATGAGGCCACCCAAATTCCAGTGCCTGTGAGAAACACAACCTCAGAGACTTCAGGCACCAGAGGCCAGCTGAGCCTGCCTGCAGCCAGAGAAGGTGGGCAGAGGCAGGAGCAGCAAAGGCTGAAGCTCTGCTCTTGCGATGCTCACAGAGAAGTCACTCAAAAGCGAACAGCTTTCAGGGAGGGTTCATTCAAATCTCACCCACCAACACTAGAAAACTCTCCATTGCAACACGCAAAGGTAATGAGGGGTGATGACGCTGCCACAGTGTTAATTTGCCTGGGGAGGGGGAGAGGGAGATGGGAACAAGGCAATGCAACAAAGGAGAAAGAGAAATACGGGCTCTTTCCATGAGGATTCGTTCTGGATGGGCAGCAAATACAGTCATGATAGAGCCATATAGTTTTCTGTCAACTCATGCAGAGCCAAGCAGCTCTCAGCATTAGTTTCTAGAGGTGACTACAGTGGTTTGTAAGAGGTGCACGCAGGAGGTCAATTTCGCCTCTCCAAAACAACACACCATGACTGAATGGGTTATATTTTCAGCATGAGGCAATCTGCTGCTGCTGCCAAGCTCCTTCCACCCTTCCTCAGGCCATGGGAAACCAGTCTGATTCGCTTTAGTGGACAGAGGGAAAGACTCTCCCACCAGTCCTCATGCGGTTTAGTAAAGATCTGGTCTCCTTAAATAGCTCCAGAGATAAGACATGAAATAGCCACAACAGGCAGCACTTCAGTGAATTCTGCATGACACACAGTAATCTCACTGCAAGTGAATTTCACAGCTTCCCTGCCCAACCCGTGCCAGGGTCTCACCACCCTCACAGGGAAGAATTTGTTCCTAATATCTAATCTAAATCTAACCTGTTTCAGCTTAAACTGAACGTGCAATTACTCCCAGCTGACTGGAGCTGGGTGCTGGAGGCTGAGCCGCTGGCTCAGGACTGAGCAGCACCAGCGAAGGGGAGTCCAGTGTCAGGACCTTGCCTCAGCCCCAGTCAGGATGTCAGCAGTGCTTGTTTTAGCTGCGCTGCGCCCACAGAACAGAAACCAGCATGGGACCAAGCATTGGAAAAGGGATCAGCTTCAAACCTGGGGAGTTCTCTTCATTAGGGACTGTAGTGATAGGACAAGGGGTGTTAAACTTAAACAGGGAAGTTCAGGTTAGATATAAGGAAGAAGTTCTTTACTGTGAGGGTGCTGAGGCGCTGGAATGAGTTGCCCAAAGAAGTGCCCATCCCTGGCATTGTTCAAGGCCAGGTTGGACAGGACCTTAGGGGACATGGTCTGGTGTGAGGTGTCCCTGCCCATGGCAGGAGGGTTGGAACTAGACGATCTTAAGGTCCTTTCCAGCCCAAACCATTCTATGATTGATTCTATGGCGAGGCAGGAGCAGACACATCCTGAACCCTGCGGGTCCCCAGCGCTTCCTATT